AATTTCTCGAATTGGGTCTTTGCGATTTTGGTGAAACTCTGTTCAGCGCAAGGCACTAATGCGCACTATGTGTAGCCGAGAGATTTTCACGAAAAAATGCCGGCAACAGCAGATTTTCGACTCAGACCTCAAAGGGGCGTGGCATTATAACCACGTGACATTTACTCCGATCGCCAAAAATTTTATGTTATATTGTAGATTGATCTATGTTATCCATTCTATGTGTTAGACTTACGATAAAAGTAAAGGTGGGGATACCATAGAGCTTCAAAGTAGGATGGTACCCCCCCAAAAAAACTGGGTCGAGTCACCTTAAGAACCATATACAGCTTTGAGCAGCCCCAAACATTGAAATTTCGGTAAAAGACAGAAAAGAGAGTTTTACGGCATTAGGTTACACATCTACAGCTTTTCTGGAGTATCAGTAAATCAAATTTCGGATTCCCCACAAACTCATGTACTAATGCTTGTTAAATTTTATTTACGTAGGGCTCTGAATAAAAGTATCAGATATAAAGTGCTAGAGATGGACCCGAAAGGAAATCTTTACCTTCACAAGACTGCGTTTCTCTGCAAGAATGATATAATCAAACGACTCGTTAGCGGCAAATACTATCTCGTAGAATCGACCCCCATTGGTAAGTCACTCAATGTTTTCCACATAGGAAACCAACAAAGGGCTTTATATGTACTGTAATGAGTCGTATGCTTAATGCTTCGAGTCTTGTACTCAATTAGCACTGAATTAGCTTATTCCTGAACTGCTAGAATGTTCGAAAAAAAAAGGAAGTCTACAGTGCAATTTTAAATATTTTCGTGCTTCCTTAAGCCCACTTTTCTTTTTTGCTAATAATAACCGAAGTCCTAACTGAAGAAAACTCAATTTAATTAGAATGCTCCTTTTCGTTATGAACGCAGGTCTGTCAAAAGATTCTTCAGCGCTCAATTGCAACGATCTCAAAACAAAAGTGCCTTCTGCCACGTCAGGTGTCTACTGGATTGACCCGGATGCTGGTTCCCATAGCAACGCTTTCCAAGCCTATTGCGACCAACAGACGGAAGGAGGAGGCTGGACTTTGGTCTGGAGTTATACCTTCACAGCTTATTCAAAGTTCTGGACTGGCCCCAATGCTGTCACTCCACGGCCTACATGGACAGCCAATGCTAACACAAGAGTGTCCACCACAGTTCCACTGAGCGAGACGCATTATGAAGCCATGAACTTTGCTTTGTGGCGCACCATTGGAAAAGAATTCCTTATCAAGAGTAACATCAACAACTGGATCGCTTGCAAGGAAGGTTCTGGCAGTTTACTCGGTTATACAGTGTTGCTCTTCAAGTATCTCCAACAATCGCCCCCTAATCGCTAAGGAAAACATCATATACAGTCAATCCCCGTAAATATGGACCCAGAGGGGGTAGAGAAAATGTGAGGGTTTGCTTTTCACAGGGAATGAGCAATTACACCATCTTTTAGATATTCGAAAATTCTAAAAGAGGCAGGCGAGCAAGAAATATTGTCGTTGGGGGCCCCTGATACATGGTTCCGATGCTTGGGTTTATAAAACAAAAGAAATAGAGTTGAGTCTTTTCTTCAACTCATTTTTCGGTATATGAAAAATTTTGAAACGTTTGAACTGGGCCTGAGTTGAAATAATTGCGATTGAAGATTAAAAGAATGCAGAGTCACTTTTTAAGAGACGTTTTCGCCGCCATCGCCGTCCTTGGATCTTAAGGTCCCTAGTAGTAAACTGAGCTGGAAGCAAATCAATGTCAAAATATTAAAAAGAAATATTTATTTTGTCTCCCAAAGTCTAGATAAATATATTTGCAAGAGTATGAATAATAAAGATCACGTTGAGTTTCAATAAATTTGTTCCCCTCGAAAGAATCAATTTAGACCTAAATTTTGTTTAAAAAGAGGAGAAAATTATAATTTATATTATCTTTGCCGTCAAAAGGTCAATTAGTTATATATTTGGAATAAAACTAAATTCAATAAAGAATGATGAAATATTGACTTTTTTAGTTTCAATGTTTGCTCAAAAGGGTTTTAAATATCCCAACTTCAAAAACGAAACATCAGAAGGCAAAGCTTTGTAAGCCTTTCTGACTGATTTATCTTACACTCCTTTTTGAGCGGTAGTTGTGTTTCCCAGAGTCCCGGGCGGAAAGCGATGCCTGTGTTGTGGTGCTATTGATTGGTGCTTTCATTCACCGTTGAGAGAATCTGTTTTGTTATTCAGAATTCCGATGCGCGCAAGAGTAAAATTCACGTAATTTTTTTGTCTCATTAGGAGGCCAAGCTAGTGTACGTAGAAGGGGCCTGTTTTTTTTCAGGGGCGAAGGAAGAAATTTCGAGGTTAACCGGTGCCTGCCGCTAAGGACAAAGCATAGTCAAGCGGATTTCAACTCGGTCACCCGCAACCATCTTTCAAATCCCGCTCTAGTCACTAGCAAGTGTTTTTCTCGATAGCCCGGTGTACACATCCTCGGCCATGATTACAGTCAACTCTTTTGCCTACGGCCAGTAGCCATCCTTCCTTGTTGTTATTTTTAGAATGCATGTATTTTCGTAATAGTAATTTTGTGGGCCTCAATATGATCTATTGGGTCACCAAGAAAAGCGCCACTCCTTTGAAGATTTTGTCTGTTTATTCGTAAACGAGACTGACGAAAGATTTAGTGTATTCGAGCAATATGTTTCTATGCTTCGCGCATAATGTAGCCAGATTGCTAAAGAATGCACTTTATTTATTTATTTTTTTTTAGCAAAACATTGGTAAGGGAAGGAACCCTCAAGCGCGGTCATTGCACGCGTGCTGAACAAGAATGCTGTATCATGACGGACCAGAAACAATAGACAACTCCCAAAGCACAAACTCAGCCAAAACGCTAAAAATCTTCAATGTTTACTCAAGTTTGGGCTTATAGAAGATAATGTCACAGTTTTTCAATGACCATGAAATTCAGAGTCCGGGTAGTTAGTTAATCAATTGTGGCCCTGAAAAAATTTGAAGGAAAAAAAACTACGAATTTTTAAGAAAATGCTTTTTTCGTGAGAAGGACTCTTAAACGCTGACAAACGTCAACAAATAGCGAAAACTATAATTTCTATATGTTTGCTTTGCTCGAAATCGCGCGCATTTACAAGGCCCTAAAGCGTTTTGCTGACTTGCAAGGACCCATCTGTTATAACGATGCCCAAAATAAAGAGATGAATCTCATAGTTTATTAGATATAATCCGTGTAAAGTTTGCTTATCATTTTCGCATAAATTATGACCTAAATTTGGAAACCGCTGAATTTCTCGAATTGGGTCTTTGCGATTTTGGTGAAACTCTGTTCAGCGCAAGGCACTAATGCGCACTATGTGTAGCCGAGAGATTTTCACGAAAAAATGCCGGCAACAGCAGATTTTCGACTCAGACCTCAAAGGGGCGTGGCATTATAACCACGTGACATTTACTCCGATCGCCAAAAATTTTATGTTATATTGTAGATTGATCTATGTTATCCATTCTATGTGTTAGACTTACGATAAAAGTAAAGGTGGGGATACCATAGAGCTTCAAAGTAGGATGGTACCCCCCCAAAAAAACTGGGTCGAGTCACCTTAAGAACCATATACAGCTTTGAGCAGCCCCAAACATTGAAATTTCGGTAAAAGACAGAAAAGAGAGTTTTACGGCATTAGGTTACACATCTACAGCTTTTCTGGAGTATCAGTAAATCAAATTTCGGATTCCCCACAAACTCATGTACTAATGCTTGTTAAATTTTATTTACGTAGGGCTCTGAATAAAAGTATCAGATATAAAGTGCTAGAGATGGACCCGAAAGGAAATCTTTACCTTCACAAGACTGCGTTTCTCTGCAAGAATGATATAATCAAACGACTCGTTAGCGGCAAATACTATCTCGTAGAATCGACCCCCATTGGTAAGTCACTCAATGTTTTCCACATAGGAAACCAACAAAGGGCTTTATATGTACTGTAATGAGTCGTATGCTTAATGCTTCGAGTCTTGTACTCAATTAGCACTGAATTAGCTTATTCCTGAACTGCTAGAATGTTCGAAAAAAAAAGGAAGTCTACAGTGCAATTTTAAATATTTTCGTGCTTCCTTAAGCCCACTTTTCTTTTTTGCTAATAATAACCGAAGTCCTAACTGAAGAAAACTCAATTTAATTAGAATGCTCCTTTTCGTTATGAACGCAGGTCTGTCAAAAGATTCTTCAGCGCTCAATTGCAACGATCTCAAAACAAAAGTGCCTTCTGCCACGTCAGGTGTCTACTGGATTGACCCGGATGCTGGTTCCCATAGCAACGCTTTCCAAGCCTATTGCGACCAACAGACGGAAGGAGGAGGCTGGACTTTGGTCTGGAGTTATACCTTCACAGCTTATTCAAAGTTCTGGACTGGCCCCAATGCTGTCACTCCACGGCCTACATGGACAGCCAATGCTAACACAAGAGTGTCCACCACAGTTCCACTGAGCGAGACGCATTATGAAGCCATGAACTTTGCTTTGTGGCGCACCATTGGAAAAGAATTCCTTATCAAGAGTAACATCAACAACTGGATCGCTTGCAAGGAAGGTTCTGGCAGTTTCGTGTCACAGAAGACGGGGTCCCTCAGCTGTAAACTTGTCAAACAGGTTTCAAGGCAGTGTGCCGGTGTTGTGCCAAAGTCCATTACTATGGACAGTCACGGTCCTCGACTTTCCAGCAGTAGCCTCTACTATTTCTTCGACGGTAGTACGAGGATAAATGCGCCCACGCATGATCCATGTGGCAGAAATCAAGCCAATCAAGTAAAAGGTGTGGTTAATCCACATGGCAATATTTTTGTAAGGTGAAAAATTTCTCAAGCGCTTATTGGATATCGGGGAGAAACTGAAATAAAATCATTAAATGCTAAATAAGCTCTCTAAGTTATTGTAAACAACTCAAGCAGCAAAAAGTTAATTTTAACATACACACTGGAAACTATACTGTTGTGGCAGCAGAAGGTAGCATAATATTGCAAATAAATAGCCAATAAATCTGGGTTCCTTATATTTCAATTGTTTCATTTATTGTTCAACGTTATATTATGTTCATTCAACTATCGTCAGCCAGTTAAATCATCTACTTTCAGTCGCAGATTTTGCCCACCGTGAAAGAGTGAAAGAAAGTTAACTTATTTCCCTTGGCCGAGTTTTTCTCGTTATAGTACCGTTAAACCTACTGAAAGTGACCACGAAAAAGATGAGTGCAAGAGAGTACTAGAAAATACGATTATCCTTTCTAAGAAAGGATAATTTATTTAACCCTCCACAGAAAATTCGGTACCGATTCGCTAACTTCCTTGAAATTAAATTTACGATCAGGTGACCTGTCACGTGACTATAATTGCATCAAAGGCATAAGAAAACCTCAGGAGTTTTACTCTAGTGAAAGATTTGTTCGTACCCTGAGATATCCGTGTGAGAGAGATATTCCAATCGATCATATTTTCGGAACGCAACTTTCGTACCAGGCGAAAGGTATTAGTGCGGAAATAATTTGCCACTCTATAAACAAACAAGAATCACTATCTAGGTACGCGTGGATTTGAGATCATTTGGGTAAGCGAAATTAGTAATGACTGCATGATACTCTTGATTTTTTGGCCATCTTAGCTTAAATGCATTTCTGGAAATAAATAAAACTTTAACTTGACGTTTCGTTTGTTCCAACAGGAGGGCTCTTGACCAGGTGCTGCCTATTGCGTCTATAGGTGGACCCGTGTGACTGGATCTCGTAGGACCTCTCATCTAATCGCTTTGTCACTTTACCCTTGTCCCAATCATGTTTGCCGAGCACAAATGGCTTCATTCTGACAGTGTCGCCAACATTCAGGGCTGGAAGATCATGGGCTAACCGGTTGTAATAACACTGCTGCCTCTTTTGGTTTAACTGGAGTTGTTCCATCTCATAGAGATTTGGTGGGTTTCTGGGTTCCAGGAGTGATCTTGTGGATGGTAGCAGACTTCTTGTCCTTCTTCCCAGAAGACGCTGTGCTGGGCTACTAGCAACACCTTGAGTTGGTGTGTTCCGGATATTGAGTAGAGCCAGGTACTGGTCTTCTCCTGACTTTGATGTCTTGCGTAACATTCTTTTCGCAGTTTTCACAGCCGATTCAACCTTTCCGTTTGCTTTGCTGTGGTACGGTGATGTGGTAGTGTGTTCAATGCCCCATTTCTTTGTAAAAGACTTGAATTCGCTGGATGTAAACTGGGGACCATTATCTGTGACCAGTTGCCTGGGGATACCATACCGCGCCAGGTGTGACTTCAACTTTTTGATCACAGTTGATGACTTGGTGTTGGTGAGTGGATCCAACTCCCAGAAGTTAGACTTGTAGCAGACGGTGACGAGGTACTCTTTGTCATGATAAGTGAAGAGGTCTGCTCCAATTTTCTCCCATGCTCCTTCAGGGACTTCATGAGACATAAGCGTCTCTTTGCAAGGTGTCAGTTCATTCTCTCTGCATGTCTCACAGGTGCGAATCCACGCTTTTAATTCCTTGTTCATTCCTGGCCAATAGACATGTTCCCTTGCGCGGCGCAGGCAGGCTTCAATTCCTTGGTGTCCGCTATGGATGTCTTTCTTGACTGCTGCTCGCATTCCTTTAGGTATCACAAGTCGCTCGCCGCGGAATATCAAGCCGTCTGTAACTGCAAGTTCATCCCTGACACTGAAGTAGGGGGTAACGAGGGGTGGTAGTGATTTCTCGTCTGCTGGCCAACCTTCTTGTATTATGCATTTCAGCTGTTGAAGAGAGGTATCGTCACTGGTGTGCTGGCGGATCTCATGAATCTTCTCTTCAGGCATGATCAGATAGGAGAGGGCATTTATGGTCTCGAACTCTTCTTGTCCACAATCAGAGGTTCTCGGCAGGTGAGCTCTGCTGAGCGTGTCGGCTAGGTACATTTCTTTACCATTTAGGTATCTAACTTCGATGTCATATGCCAGGGCGCGCATTAACATTCCCTGTAAGCGCTTAGGAGCTCTGTCCAGGGGCTTCTTCACGATGCTTGCAAGTGGTTTATGATCTGAATACACAGTCACAGGACGACCAAACGTGTACTGGTGCCATTTTTCTAGGGAAAACACAATCGCGAGCATCTCCTTCTCTATGGTGGCATATCTGGCTTCTGCTTCACTCAAAGCCCGGCTGGCGTATGCTAGTGGCTGGCCGTCTTGAAGGAGGGCGGCTCCCAGCCCCTGTCCACTAGCATCACATTGGATCGTTAGGCTTTTACTTGGATCAAAGTAGGCTAGTACAGGTGCTTGTGTCAGCAAGCGCTTCATCTCTGTAAAAGCTTTCTCGTGCACAGCATCCCACGTCCACTCAGAGGTGGGGCGGGCTAGGTCATAGATTGGACGCATCACATCAGACAGGTTTGGAACAAATTTAGACAGGTAATTCACAGTTCCTCTTAGTCTTTCCACTGCTGCTTTGTCTTGAGGAGGTGCCATGTTTTGGACTGCTTCAACTTTGGAGGGGTCTGGCTTGAGGCCATCACTGGTCAACACGTGGCCCATGAACGGGATCTCGTTGAGACCAAAACGACACTTCTCTTTGCTCAAGGTGATACCCTTATCGACACAGCACTTGAGGAAGGTACAGACACGTGCATCGTGTTCTTCATCTGTTCGACCCCAAATAATCACATCGTCAGCGATACAGCGGACTCCCTCAAGGCCTTCAAGAGCATGATGTAGTCGTTTTTGGAAGATTTCACTGCTGACTTTCAAACCAAATGGGAGACGAAGCCACCGATAGCGTCCGAAAGGCGTGGCAAACGTGGTCAACAAACTTGATGCATGATCGAGCTCACAGTGAAGGTACCCAGACTTGAGATCACAAACAGAGAATACTTTCGCCTTGGTAAGGTCTGGAAGAACATCTTCTAGAGTGGGAAGCTTGTAGTGTTCACGTTTCAGTGCTTCATTAAGAGGTCTTGGGTCAATGCAGATACGAATTCCAGCTTTCTTTTCAGCAACAGACATTTGACTGACCCAGTCAGTAGGTTCATCCACAGGCACAATGATTCCTGCATCCACTAAACGCTGAAGTTCATCTCTGACAACTTGTTTTCTAGACTCAGGCAGAGTGCGGGCACAACGGACGACAGGAGTGGAACCTTCAATGGTTGTTAAGTGAACTTTCTTCCCAGGTAGGGTACCAGGGGTGTCTTTAAAGGCATCAGGAAACTGTTTGAAGTATTGGCTACCATGGGTGACAACATTAACTGCTTTAAACTTGTCATAATGGACACTCATGAGATTCATCTTCTGTGCAGCAATACAGCTGAGGAGAGGTGTGAAGTGGTTGTCAACAATGACAAAGTCCACCTTGTACTTCTTCTTAGTGGTGGGGTTCTTGACTTTGACCTCACACTTGCCAAGGGCAGGTAAAGACGTTTTGTTCCACATCTGAAGATGAACCCTCTCAGGACGAATAGCGTGCTGATCCCCCAGGTAGTGCTTTGGAAGAATACAAACTGTAGCCCCACAGTCAATTTGCATTCTGACAGGCCTTTTGTTGATTTCCATTTCGCAGAAAATAAGCTGGTTGCCAGGGTTTACTGAATTGACAACTTGATCTTCAAAAGCTGTTACAGTGCTAATTGTTCCAGTGCTGCTTTCAGATGAATCAGAGGAGTAACCATCAGCAAGAGAGTTGACACCTTGGTGTTTACACTTCTTTGAGGCTTTGAAGTGATTTCTTTCACCACAGGCTGCACAGGTTTTTCCCCAGGCAGGGCACAATTCTTTTTTCATCACATGAATTTGAAGACAGTATAGACACTTCTTCTTTGCAGGTTTCTGATCATCACTTTGGGGAGGTTTCTTGGTTTTATGCTGGTGTTTATCTAGGCCTGACTTCTTTGTCTTCTTCGATATATCCTTGATCTTATTAATTTCTTCATTCTTCAGGGCCTTCATGTGAAGAGAAGCAGCTTCCATTCCTCGACAGATGTCAATAGCTTTATTCAGAGTCAAATCATGAGTAGAGAGTAGCTCTTCGCGTGTTTTGTCATCCGAGATGCCTAAGAGCAGGCGGTCCATAATCAACAAATCTCGCATGCAGTCACAGAAACCACAAGTTTTAGCCATGTTTCGCAGAACTGAAAGATACTCATCAATTGACTCACCAGAAGCTTGATCTCTACGGTTGAACTGAAAACGTTCAAAGAATTCCTGAGTTTGACCGAGAAAATGCTGATCGTACTTGACTAGAATATCTGCCATCTTGTTACGGTCCTCGCCTTCGGAGAATTTCATGCCGTTGAAAATTCGCATGGCTTCTATTCCAATGCTATGCAGTAAAATGGCGCACTTGTAGTCTTCTGGCTGGTTGTTTAAGCCCGTGATGATACAGTAATTTTCCCATCGTTGTTTCCAGATTTTCCAGTTGTCGGCCCGATCGCCTTCGATCTCTAGAGGTTGCGGAGGAGAAACTTGTGGCCGACGAAAAGCAGGAGCTGAAGCTTGCGGTCCAGAAGCTTGACTGTCAGAATCAGTAGGCATTGTTTACCGCTGCCACCATGTAACAATTATTACCGGTGTATTAAGCCGGACAAGAAGACGAAGTGAATTGAGCAACTTCAAGATGGCGGTTCAACAACAACTCTTTTAATCCATGAAAGCGAGGCTAATACGTCACGACTTACAATATCTCAATGTTAACCAATGTTAACCAATATTGTCACATGTTTACCACCGCAGTTTGTTTTTGTTTCTTCTTAATGATTGCATGGTCAATAGTTGAGTGACTTTCAGTACCATCGACCAATCACAACTAACACGTGTCCGTACAAATGAT